AACAGAGAGAGCTATGAACAACTGCAGGATAGTCACCCAATACAGAATGCTCATATATAATATTTACAAGAAAGCTATAATGCAAATACAAATAGATGCGAAAACCAAAACACAACGAATGGTTTAACAAGGAGTCCCATGAAGCAACAGATAAAAAAGTAGAGCATACCTAAATACAAATCAAGCTAGATATACATGAAGAGCAAAGGAGGAATAGCTGACCCTAAGGAGAGAAGAAAAAATATTACATAGAAGAAAAAAAGCCAATTTGAGAAAAAGATGTTGGAGAGCATAGAATGGCTAAAAGCTCAAAAAACAAAACTCGAAAGTTCTACAGAAATCTAAACAAAAGGAGCTTAAATACAAGACCACCTACCATTAAAGAGGTTCCATAATGGCTCAAGCCATTAAAAAGCTTAAAAATAATAAATCGCCAGGAACTAATTAAATTTGCAAGGAGCTCTACAAGAATGGTCTCTTCTTCTTACGGTGCCTTATCCTTAAGGACGTTGGCCATTACATATGCCCATTTAATCTTATTTGTAGCAGCCCTGAATAGTTCTATGGAGGTCATGTTCGTTCATTGCCGCTTTTAAGCCAAGAGTTGCGTCTTCTTCCTGGTCCTCTTTTGCTATTGACTTTGCCTTCGATTATAAGTTGGAGCAGTTCATACTTTTGATTTCTTGTGATGTGACCAAAATATTATGTTTTGCGTTCTTTTATTATAAGCATAAGCTCTCTTTCCTTATTCATCCTCCGCAAGATTTCCGCATTTGTCGTAAGGCTCATGTAGGATATTCTGAGCATTTTACGGTAACACCAGAGTTCGAATGCTTGGATTCTTTTTTGTGTTGCTTCTGTCATTGTCCAGGCTTCAACACCATAGAGCAAGGTGGAGAAAACATAGCACTTAAGTATTCTAGTTCTCAATGAGAAGCACAGCTGGCGGTTGCATAGAACTTTTTGCATTTTGTAAAACATTGTACGTGCCTTTTCCAGGCGTATTCTTATCTCTAGTGAGTGGTCCCAAAATTCATCAAGATTACTTCCAAGGTACGTTGTTCTTGTAACTCTTTCCAGATCTGTTCCGTTGACATTGACCTTCACCCTTCTGTTTTGGTGCTTGCTGATGACCATCGTTTTTGTCTTCTTTGTATCAATTTTATTCCAAATTCTCTACAGGCTGTCGTTACTCGGTCCATTAAGCCTTGCAGGGCTTCAGCATTATCTGCCAGTATGACAGTGTCATCAGCATATCGCAGGTTATTTATACATTGCCCGTTTATAATTATACCATCCGAGGTGCCTTCCAAAGCTTTCTGAAATATCTTCTCAGAGTAAACATTGAACAGCAAAGATGATAGGACACATCCCTGTCTTACTCCCTTCTCGATATTGATTTTTCCAGATGTTTCGCTTTTTATTCTGATTTTAGCCTTTTGTTCTTGGTAGAGGTTTGAAATGATCCTTAAGGCTTTATCGTCGATATTACATGACCTTAAAATATCTATTAGTTTATCATGTTTCACAAGGTCAAACGCCTTCTGAAAGCCTATAAAACACAAGTATACATCAGAATCGACATCTCTACATCTTCCAACTAGATTCTTCAAAAAGTGCTTCTCTTGTTCCGAACCCATTCTTAAAACCAAACTGAGTTTGACCAGTGTGTTCGTCTAGTTTATTGTATACTCTATTGTGTATTACTCGTAGGAAAAGCTTCAACATAAGATTCATCCGGCTTCATTCAACATATAATAATCCTATTGTCTTCACATTTCTTGGAGTTTCTCTTCTTTGGTAGTGGTATAAACGCCGATGTCAGCCAATCATTTGGTATTACGCCTGTTTCGTATATTTTGTTAAATATATCTTCCATTACTTCGATGTGTTCGTCTAGTAATATCTTTATTATTTTAATTGGGATATTATCTTCCCCAACAGCTTTTCCGTTCTTTAACTGATTGGTGGCCTGCATAAACTTTTACTTCTTATCAAGAAAGATGGGACCAAGTGAATGGTCTTAAGATGGGATATGCCCGTTACATAAAAAAGCGATCAGCTCCAGTATGACAACCACAGAGCTATAATTGCTTACACAATACTAGCAAACTTTTTGTATGAAATTAATTACTATTTAACTGTGAATAAGCCACAATTAAAGGTAAAAATACGTTTATTAACGTTTCAATTTCCACTTCGGAAATCGTTCTCAAAATACAAACAGTAAATTTTCTACGAAAGTTTACATAGTGGGCATAGTTAGAAAACATCACGCTGGATTTATTCCAGAATCATTAAAAATTGACCAGATCAATTCAATAAGATAGATCTTCGAGAAAACTTTTGAATTTAAAACTAAAATCCTTTACCTATTCGTCAACTTTAAGGCCGCATACGACAATGTTAAGAGAACAGTACTATACCAATGAATGTTCGAAAAAGAGAACCTTATGCTAATAACATTGCCAGGAACTGCCTTAAACAACTGTCGCCGAGCGTCACACTCTATCTAAGGAACATTTTTCAACCCCACACTCAGACACCACACTCTCCCATGGTAAGAGAGGACCGGGAGGAAGACGCATTTCCTGGCTTCAAAATTTACGAAAGTGGTATAACACGACTACCACTGAACTGTTCTGCGCTGCAGTAAACAAAGTAAAGAAGGCCGTGATAGTCGCCAACATCCGGAACGGATAGGCACTTTAAGAAGAACACACTCAGACTCTGCTACATCTCATTACCATGGAAAGTAGTCAACACAAGTTTGCTTTTAAGGGAAAAGCCCGAACCAATCTAAACTCTTACAGGCCGATTTCTCTTCTACATAATATATCTTGGCTAAGGTCTTCGAGAGGATCCTTTAAAATAGGCTAGTAGACTTTACCACAGGTAACAATATCATCCATACATTTCAGTTTTAGAGAAGGTTACTCCACCAACAACGGGTTGGCTGAAACCGTCACACACATCTCATAAAGTCTAACATGACAACAAACCATCATTAGGAATTTTTCTCGATGTTCAAGAGGCTTTCGACCAATTCTGGCATGCTGGACTGGTGAAGAAACTACTGAACATAAGCCAGGCGTTTCTATTTGTCAGACTCATGCATTCACAAGTCACTCAGCACCAAATCACGGTAAAGGTCAAAAGTTATTTCTCTACCCCCTTCACACCTACATCAGGAGTGCTACAAGGTTCCCTGTTGGCACGAAAACTTTACAGAATGTACAACAGCGACTTTCCTAACTCAAGTAACAAAGGTACACTTACTTTACTTTACGTATACACTGCTCTCATAACAACATCTCGAGATGCAGATGCCCTGTGTAGGTTTGTTCAAAAGCATCTAAACCATGTCGATAGGTAGTTCGAGAGAGCGAGACTAACACCTAATCTAAACAAAATACAAATTATCTTCTTAAGAGATCCTAATCTTAGCAGACACATCACAATCAATGTTGGAAAGAATTGTCCTTTGACTCTAAAGGGGTCGACTCCAACTATGTGGCCAGATCGAGTACCTAGGCGTGATATTCAAAAAGACGCTATACTAGAGACGCAATTTAGCCAAAACTCGTAACAGGGTGAGGAGAAGAGTCGACCCACTTAACGCTCTACGTGAAAAATTTGGAGAGACACAAAAATTTAGAGAGAATTAGCAGAATTCGCTCCGCTCTTATACATCAACTATCGAACATCCAGCCCATAAATGAGAGGCCAAAACCACAATCAAAACTACCTGCAATGTATTCATCAGACAATCTAAAAGAAAACTATCCTTCCTCCACACCAAACAGATGACCTTAGCCAGCAACGAACTAGTTGATAAATACATGGACATTCTGGAGGCAACTCCACTTTACACTCGCAACTAAATAAATAACTCACTTTGAGCTCTGCCACGGACAGAAGGAATCGATTTTCTGCGGTTTGCCGATCTCATTGCATAATTATATCTGTCCTTAGGGAGGATAGTCAGCTATTTATACATTTAGTTCAGTCATATATGTTCATAACCATTAACAAAAAATCATTTCTGAAAAAAACCGTTTTAGCACCAACCCTTTCACCTCTGACTACTCTGGAAAGCTACCTCCTCTGCAGGAATCAACATCCACCGAGCCAATACCACCAATATACCACAACGACATCAGTGCCAATTCCCAAAAAAAACGAACCACGTCGTGAAGAGGTGACAGATACCTAAAACAGGACACAAAGATACCCACCGAAAAGAAGCAATGCAATCAGAGAAGGACACATCAACGAAGTAGCTAGCTAAAAAATAAGTGACCTTACGTGATAGTTTACGAGAAAAATTGAAAATTCTTAAATAAACAAAATAGTGGAGATTTAAAATAAATTGTTCAAAAATTGACATTTTTTTGAATTTCTTCAGTCAAAAAAATTTTATTAGTTTTTTAATATTAAAAAAAAATTATGGTTGAAGAGTTGTATAATAATAAAAAACGTTTGGTTGTCATAGATAAGGTACAATAAAATTTAGCTGTATTTCTAAATATTTACGAAAACAATTCAAAATTAGATCATTTTATTTTACAATTTATTTGGTTTTTTTAAGCTTTTAAAAATCTGTATTTGTCTCAAACTGAAAGAAGAAGAATTACTCCAACACTACAAATTTTAAACCCAACACATACAAGTGTTTAGTAGAGAGAGGAGCTCTGTACGCAATTCTACTTTCTTACAATAAAATAGTAAATACCTAAATAAACCCACAAAATCATCAAAATAAAAATTTAGTCTTCCTTAAAATTCTTGGCATGGTTGACAAGACTCGTTCAGATACGGATACCTGGCGAGTAGGTACCCGCGGTACCAGCAAGCCGGTATCCCACTCCGAATCCTCGCGCCAATGCCAAGCTACTGAGAATAGGTAACCTTTACAGGTTCACCGTGTTGGTATAGTGGATCCGAGGGGCAAGGGGATCGTACAACGGTTCACTTGGATGGAAATACAAGCGGTCATCAGTCTTCTCAAGGCCCTCTAAGTGTATGACACGCAGCATTTTTTAATTTCAACCTAACATCTACCTGTATAAACAATCAACAATGATTTTTACGAAGGACTTTAAGGATTTTTAGTGTTGTGATGTGAGAAGTGACTGTTCTGTGGTTGTGTGACCATTCTTAGGATACTCTTTAGTGACTAGAGGCAAAATGCCGAAAATATTCTTGATTAAAAATAGGTTGCACCAGCAACAACTAAGACTTGAGTCCCAAAATGCTGGAGACGCGAAAACTGATCTTGGAATTGGTGATTGCCAGCCTCTTTCGTTGATAGTCCAGAAAAAAGACGGTAAGTCACTACAAATTCCTCAAAAGAAACCACTTCAATAAAACAATTGCATGTAACAATGTATGTAATGTATACAGTTATAAAAGACATGTATTTTGAAGCATGCAAACAATACAGTCAATTAAATGATTATATATAAACATCGGCATAAGTAGTCACTCATTGCTTTTAAATAAAGGATATATAACTGACTGTTTACAACTTTTCGTTTTGTGCAAAATTAAATTACATATAGATTGGTATTCTGTACACTACAAACTTCCGTGAACTTGAAAAACATCTATTTTCTAAATAATTAATCGTGATGATGGTAATTTTCTAAACGGCAATTTTATTTTTGTAAAATTACTACTAGAGACGTTTTGTTTAGTTATTGTCTTTTTTCTGTCATGTCTGTTTTCCTACATGCTCTAACATCATTAGCCTTTCATTAATCCCTTTTTCAATGTGATCTTAAGCGAATATGGGACTACATTTTAAATGTACATTGGTTGTACTCCAAGTATACAATTCAGCAGCAAAAGAATTACTTCTTGATGAATTACTTCGTGATACATGGTAAAACTGTAAAAAGTACAGAAAAACTGATGATAGATTTGAATTCAGCAATGAAAGTTGTATAGGGGAGAATGACGAAGCCGGAAGATTTTATTTCCGGTTAGGAATACAAAAATACTTATAGAGCAATTTATCTTGATTTTAGGGTTTCTGTTGTGACTGAGCATTGTATTCTTCAAAATAATTAAATTTTAAATACTGTTCAGTGGAAACTGTTTAGAACCTGTTTGCTTATATTTTTCAGTAAATAATACATTGTGTTTTTATTTCTATTGAAAAATACAGAACATTATACAAAAAAGACAATTTTTGACATAACGGCTAAATAACTCTTTCATAACAGGGAAAAAATACTAATTTTGTTGATCAATTTACCACTATAGTTATATAGTACATATAGGTCTTCATATAATCATATACTTTTTCGCTAATTAATTTTTGGTACTTACTCTACCTCGTTAGAAGTCATTTTTATTTATTACAGCGGGAATTTTGCTGCTAATCTAATTATGTTCATACATTATTTTTATTTACACAAATTTTTGCAAGGTCTTTGCAATTTTGCAATATTTGGCTAAAATTCATTATACGTACGCCTCACTGGTATAATATAAATATTTCAAATCATCAAAAGTTAAGATAAGTTGAAAAGGGAACTCTTTATGAGAGAAAACAGAATACTCATAAATATTTTCATATTAGATAAAATATAGCTAAGAAGAGGTGCTATATGAAGTTGTATTATATCACCAGGACTGTTCCAAGCCATTAAGAATTAAAAAAAACTAGAATAATAGTCGTCCAATATTGTAATAATGTAAGAGTGGCCGAAGTCAGCATTTATAACCATCCTTAAAAAACAAGCCGCAAAAGAGTGCTGTGATTATCGAACACGAGCCTCATGAGTTATACTTTAAAAGTTCTGCTATAAGTAATACAAGAGAATATACGAAAGGCTAGAGGAGAATATTACCGATACGCAGTTCGGATTTCGAAATGGAATGGGTACTCGAGAAGAACTATTTGCCATCAACATATTGATTCAGCGATGTCGGGATGTAAATGTTGATCTACACTTGTGCTTCGTTGACTATGAAAAAGCTTTTGATAGAGTAAGACATAAAAAACTAATATCAATACTTATGAACAAGCGCATTGACAGTAAAATCATAAAAATAGTGCAAACATTATATTGGAACCAAAGTGCCATAGTTCAAATTGATGGACAATACTCAGAAGAAATGAGGATCTGTAGAAAAGTTAGACAGGGATGTGTTTTATCGCCACTTTTGTTTAACTTATATTCTGAAAATATTTTCCAAAACACGCTCAATAATATCGAAGCGGGAGTCACCGTTAACGGAAAATTAATTAACAACTTAAGATATGCAGACGACACTGTGATCATAGCAACGAGTATAGAGGATCTACAACATCTTATCAAAAGCTTGAGTATGAATAGTGCTGAGATGGGAATTACTATAAACGCTAAAAAAACGAAGTACATGCTAATTACAAAAGGCCACAAAATATACATCACCTATTGACAATCAATGGTAACGTGATAGAACAAGTAGAAAAATATCAGTACTTTGGAACTTTGATCAATGAAACCAATGATCATACTGTAGAAATAAACAGGGGAATAGAGATTGCCAGACCAGCATTTATACGAATGAAGCCACTCCTAACGTGCAAAAATCTAAATTTGGAGATCAGACTACGTACCATTCGCTGTTATATATTTTCAATATTATTATATGGAGCTGAGACTTACATAAAAATGTAATTTAAAAAGAATCGAGGCCTTCGAACTCTTGTTATACCGCAGAGTATTGAAAATATCATCGACTGATAGAATTACAAATAAAGAAGTACTGGAGAGGGTTGGTAAAGAAACAGAACTAATCACCACTATTCAAACCAGAAAACTGGAATACCTAGGCTACGTGATGAGGGACCAAAATATGAAATTTGAGACTCATAATACAGGGAAAGATTCAAGGAAGAAGATCTGTTGGCTGAAGGCAGAACTCATGGTAAAAGAATCTACGTGATTGGTATCAATGCAGATCGATTTGTTTAGAGCAGCAAGTTCTAAAATAAAAATAGCCTTTGTTATTGTCAACCTTCGTAGAGAGACGGCACTCTAATTAGAAGAATTGCAATGAATTACAATGAAAGATTCAGCATAATATATTGTTGAAAAACCTAATTCGCTTGCAGTTCTATTCAACTTTTCGAGAAGCAATCCCAAAAGTCAATATTGCGATGACGATAACTAATATTTCTAAGAAAAATAGTACTTAAAGTATTATTTCTATGTGAATAAATATTCATCTACATGGTTTTTATCGTTTGCGTGATACAGATTTTCACTGTCAATGTTTTAGACCCTTTATTTTTATGATGCTTCCACATTTTTTAAAATCTGTTCACTTCTAAACAGTTTAATGTAGCTTTGTTTACAGTTTAATGGCTTTAAGTAGAATTTCATTGCGAATTTAACTCTTGTGTAAAATAACTGGTTTAAAACTCATAAAAATTGCCTTCTGGAGGGTAAATTGGAACATAAAAGGGTGCAGACGGTTAAACGTTTATTTACCTTCGCACCTTCATAGCACCATCAGCAAACATCAAATGATTTTTTGTTACTACTACGTAAACAGTATGTTTTCAAATTGAATTTAAAAACAAAAAAAAAACAAATTGGAAGCCATTCAAATTCATCAACAATAGTATTTGGTGACATATTTTGATGGGTTAGTACTTAAGCAAGTAAGACTATAAATAGTATCTTGTAGGAACTATTTGGAATAAGAATAATAGAAGAAACATACCATGCAGGATTCAACATTACTTCAGACAGTTTTTCTTACAATTATTTTAAAATATTTCTCAAGACGCTAGAAAGAAAGAAACTGCAAAAAAGATTGTTCCCAAATTTAACTCAAAAGTAGTATTTTCTCGGAATCAACTACACTTTATTCTCTCTCCGCTTTGTAACCTTAAACTTACAGCATATAACAAAAATAACGTGATACCCAATTTTTTTTAAACTCTTAAAACTTTCTCCATGTTCTCACACAGTACAAAAATTACCATCTATATAGACGGACGCATCTAAAACCATAAATAGAGTAGGAGCATGCTTTGTGATATCACATAAACATTCCATCTATAAATTGTCTTTACAGCAGAATTATTTGCCATAACCTTTATTCTAGAAAAAAAACTTCCCAAAGTCTAATTCACTTAGTTGTCTGACATCTATCTCTCAGATTTATTACCCCTCTCATCCAACATTACAGCAGATTAAGTTAATTTTATACCATCTAAACCAAAACAATTTGACAGTAGAGTTCCTCTGGGTACCGTTAAACGTTGGAATAGATGGTAACGAAAAGGCAGATAGTTTAGCTAGGTCCACAGTAACCATTAGAGCCGCATCATCGGAAAATCTAACGATGCATTTGGATCTAAAACCTTACTTAAAAGCAAAATTGCACGATGTTTGGCAAAACCAATGGAATAAAATTTTCCGTCCTTCCATGGAACTTCTGGCCTTCAAAGCAACATCAAGTCCTAATAACACGTCTCATATTAGGGCACACTTCTACAACACATGATTACTTGTTGAAGAGAGAAGAGGAACTAGTTTGTTTTATTTCTGAATATAAAGTGACAGTGAAGTACATTTTGATTGGCTGTCTAATATACTCAGTTGAAAGACTATATCACCACATTCCAAAAACATTAAAATAACTTCTAGGAGAATCTAAATATGTAGCTGACTTGATAGAATGCTTAAAATCTATAAACTTTTTTAATAAATTTAACACAATACAACAATAATTAAAATATAATATATTGTATACCTTATTATGTAATTGATATTTTGTATATGCCATGTATGTCATTATCACGTTTTGTGTTTTCTGATGCTAATAACCCTAAGTGGTTGAAGAAAAATAATTAAAAAAAAAACTACAGTTTTATCTTTACAGTCAAACGTTTTTTATGAGAACATTATACTCAATAAACAAACTGATCTATAGAGAAACGCTCGTCCTTTGCTGTTGCGCTTTTATTAGTTACGTAGGTGGTTCTATCAAATTTCTAAGCAAGTAGGTTTTCATTAACAAATTTATATGATAAAATAAAATTTATTGTGATATTCGTCTTGATACTCTAATAGTTCATCCAATTATTTATTAAGACTTCTGATGTCTAGATGTATGCATTTGCACTTCTTACATTTAGCGTAAAATCCTGTACAAGTGTACAATCTTCAGGTTCATCAATTGTATTCTTGAAAATTTGTTCATGCTTGAGAAACCTGTAACTGATAATCAGCTTTAATTGCCGCAGTCATCTGTCTTCTCTTTTTATTTATGGCATATACCCATACAAGAAGTAAATCATTTTGATGTCTTCTCATT